TACTGTTGATAATACTTCTGACAAGAAAACAACTTTGATCAAGGTATGAATATGTTTGTATTTATTAAAGATGCAATCTTTTTTTTTTCTTTTTCTATATGGGGTTTGAATCAGATTTCTTTGGAATACTTAATTCAAAGAATTGACCTATAAAATTAATGGAATATGCAGGTTGATAGTGCAAATAAAAGAGGAAGCTTGTTAGAAGTGGTTCAAGTTCTTACTGATTTGAACCTTATAATCAGGAGAGCTTATATATCTTCTGATGGGGAATGGTTTATGGATGGTAAGTTTTTAATTTCTTACTGAGGTTTCCTCAATTTATTTAGGAATAAACCCTTGTGTGTTCCTCCTACTAATTGTTTTCTGCATTCTTGATTGCAGTATTTCATGTCACTGATCAACATGGAAATAAGCTCTCTGAAGATAATGTTGCCGAACGCATTCAGCAGGTAAACCTAATCAGCATTGAGCCGTACTTGATTGATTGATTGGGTATCGATTATTTACTCTCCTGAAGCATTAATGCTAAAGATTTAATCACTTTTAGGAAATGGAATATGTTTAGATGCTTTGTCGTCCACTGTGTTCATGTGCCTTAAAGTGAATTCCCTCATTTCCCCTTTTTCTTGAGTCTATCAATCACCAGTTTATTTTACTATAAAGCTCTTAGGATTGGTGTGCTCGTTGAAATAGTATGTAATATTGAATTTTTTGTCAGCAAGTGGATATCACCAAATTAAAGAAGAAGATACAACAAATGCTTTATGGTGTGAGATTGAGTAACATTAAAGAGGAATATTTTCTTGTGTTGCAGTCACTTGGACCGAGGGGTCGCAGCTTCCGTTCTATGGAAAGATCTGTAGGTGTTCAATCTGCAGCAGAACACACAACCATTGAACTGACGGGGCGAGACAGACCAGGATTGCTTTCAGAGATCTTTGCTGTTCTCGCCGACCATAAAAATAATGTTGTAGCAGCAGAAGTATGGACTCATAATTCAAGAATGGCATCAGTTGTTTACATAACTGATGAAGAAAGCGGATTAGCAATAACTGATCCTGATAGGCTTGCCAAAATCAGGAAATTACTGTTGTATGTTTTAAAAGGAGATAGAGATAGGCGAGGCGCCAATACAGCAGTTTCCGTTGGCTCCACTCATACTGAAAGGAGGCTACATCAAATGATGTATGCTGATCGTGATTATGATAAAGATGATACAGATTGTGTATCGGTTGACCAGAGGAAGCCCCTGGTAACCGTAGAAAGTTGTGCAGATAAAGGCTATACCGTCGTAAATTTGAGATGTGCAGACCGTCCAAAGCTGCTCTTTGATGCAGTGTGCACGTTAACAGATATGCAATATGTAGTGTATCATGCTACCATCATTGCTGAAGGACCTGAGGCTTCTCAGGTACTCTTCTAAATTCTTGAAAATGTCCTAAATTGTTTTCTTCTGCCTTAATCTACATGAACCTGGTTCTTTTGCTAAAACTGCATTCTCAAAGAAATGCGGTTCACCATCTTGGGCCATTAGCAGCCTCAGACCAAGAAAGAGTTGTTATTTTCTCTTGTTTAGAAGCTACCTTGTCATAGGAGTACGAATGAGCTTGATAATGAGAGAATTGTGGTGATCTTATCCTCTATACGTGTTTTCCAGGAATATTACATTAGGCATATGGATGGGTGCCCCGTTAGTTCTGAAGCGGAGAGGCAACGTGTAATACACTGCTTAGAGGCAGCAGTCAAGAGGAGAACTTCTACGGTATAAACTCATTCGAATGCAAATTAAGTGCTGAGTCTCCGCACTTGTAAATTTAATTCCTTCTTTCTGTAATATGCAGGGAATAAGACTGGAATTGTGTGGTGATGACAGAATCGGGCTTCTATCTGATGTGACTCGCATATTTAGGGAGAACGGTCTTTCTGTTTCCCGAGCTGAGGTCATGACAAAGGGCTCACAAGCTATTAACGTGTTTTATGTGACTGACGCATCAGGGGGTCCAGTTAAAAGTGAAACGATTGAGGCAGTCCGGAACGAAATAGGTATGACTATTCTTCGAGTAAGGGACGATCTCTACTCGAATTCACCACCACAGCAAACAGCCAGGTTCTCTTTAGGTAACATATTTAGATCAAGATCAGAGAAATTTCTCTACAACTTGGGATTAACAAAGTCATATTCATGAGAAGTTGATAGATAGGAATGCTAGCATAGATGTGATTAGTCGTAGGCTTTGCAGCAAAGCAAAGCATTAGTTAGTAAACCCCTTGCTGATCTCAGGCTGTTTCAATCTTGTAAACAAATGTACAGCCATCCTGTGACCTGGGGGCATTGTAAATACAATACATTCTCTCCCTTTCAATGTCTATGTGGTCCTCTTTGTTAGACTAGTACTAGTTCTTATCAACCCCAGAAACTAAAGGGGGAAAATAACAAGGAAGAGTTCAATGCCCATTGATAATAGCTAAATCTTCTTCTTGTGAGATGTTGAACTGACCAGTACAATAGAGCACTCATTGCGGACATAAAAGGCTTCACAGTTTGATTTGTTGGCAGTTAAAATAATGCTCTGCTTCCTTTACAATATGAAATATCATCCCTTGGTCATAGTAGTCACTAGTCATTTGTGTAAAACAGATTCTTTTTTTTTCTAACTCGATTGAGGTCTTGATTAATCTAGAATCGCGTCGAGTAAGGCCCTGATTAATCTAGAATCGCGTCGAGTAAGGCCCGTTATTATGACGAATAGCGAGTGAAATAAAAACTGGAAGGAACAAAGAAAGGAAAAAATGTCAATCCATAATTTGCCACCAAAAGGTGTGTATAACATATTAAAAAAAAAAAAAAAAAAACTTAAAATCATGTGAGTGTTAAAAGATTATGTCATTCCTATAAGGAAATGTAATTAAAAGTATTGAAACTAAAAACTTACTAGTATAAAAATGTGACTTTTTTAAAAAAATAAATTAAAAAAGAAAGTAAAATATATATATAAATGAACGGAAGAAGTAATAGTTTATAGTTTATTATTCCATATGTGAATAACTCAATACTTTATAATTTATGTATAATAGTATCATTTTATTCTTAATCAGAGGTAGCCTAAAAAATTAATAAAAATTGGTAAAGAATACTTTCATTGTAATGAGTCTTATGCGTCTGTGATTTTGGATTAGTCAAGACTAGAATGACATTTGATTAATCCTCCTAATCTCTGTTAATTGTGTGGGAGGTCTTATGTATGGAGTCCTAGTGTCCAACTTGTCTCCTATTTGCCTTTTGGAATTGCGACCAATTTGGATGGGGCACTAGTACTACTAATCTCAGTCCTCACCACACAATCACATGTTCAAGATTCTGGAAAATCCACATAGAAACAAGGGCAAGGACGTGGCATAAAAACTCTGACCAAAACCTTAAAAGGAGTCTTATCATTTACTCTTTTGAATGGATAGAGTGCGGCCTCAATGATCCTGACACTGATCCTTCATAATCATCAATTTTGTGACCACATGGACCACCTCCAACTAGCCTTCTGTTTTACACACACACAGCAGATTGTGTTTATAGATTTTGCCCTCCCAAATCCAAATAGCAACGCTCCAAGATATATTCCTCCTCCATATAAAATTTTATCTAGGGGAAAATTTAAGAATTAAAAAGATTTAAACTAACACACAAATGTCCTTAATTTTGAGCTTAAAAGGTTCGTCTGACATTTCTTTTTTGCATATAGTTATTCGTTATCCTTTTGCCTATTGGAGAGCAAGAAAATTGTAACAAGAACACAGATATAGACATGCTAATTGGTTTTAACTTATAACAGGTAATCCTATTCTCCTTCCTTTGCCCATATTTCCAAGATAAACAAAGAAATTGTGTCTGAGAAAGTGACATTGCAAGGTAATTTCTCTACTTTATCATTATCCCGTCGAGGTTGGCAACAAGTAGTTTCTGTTACTCCTCTAAAATCTTACAAGATGCACTTTTAGATTTTTCTTAATTGAAAAAGTACAGTATAAAGAAGTTAACAACTAATATAGCATAATAAAGCATTATGGTGAAATTTGCTTTATAAGACGTTACAATAAGGATGTTTTATTCATTTATGTCACAATTACTCTTTGAAGTTCCTTGGTTAATTTCACTGCTATAAACCTTCTGTAAAGTGCACGTCGGCTTTGTAGATGGATGTTCGAACAGTTGAAAGATACAAAAATGAATGTACAAAATGATTTTGGGTCAGATCCTTGATGGCTATCTGTAGGACATTTATTTTTGAACTCCGAAGACAGACAGTTACATTACATTCTACTTACTCAGCTGCAAAACTTCTCTGATAATTTAGTATACAAATATTCATATGCTAATGGAGATCAATTCCTAGTGGCTAGTGCTTATCAAGCTTGTAAACCATGTGGCCAAGCAATCAATGAAATTGGTGAAAACCAGGTCTAACAATCGATCAATGAAAGTGATGAAAACCATGAGACATCAGGTTCAAATTCTCAGCCTCACGGTTATTTAAAGAAAAAGTTGGTAATCTATCAAACATGTAAAGCCGGTAAAGAACATGGCGGGATTTTCTAATTCTCAGAATAGACGGGTTTACAAAAAGTTCTGGTATAGGAGTATATTATGAAGCTACTCTCCCTCTCGTCTGACTTACCTCTCAACCCCGGCACAGAATCAAGCAAGCAACTGGATTTTCCACATTCCTTTAACAAAATGGAGCTATCTGTTATGTGCCCAACTGCAGCTGTTGGGTAAGTTATGATCGTTCATACACAGGCAAGTGTGCTGCTTAACAATGACCAAACCTTTTTTCCTACTGTCCTTTTCTATGTTATTTGTTCATTGTCGCCTCTCTCAGGAGATATAACCATATACTTCCAATTGCTGTGTCAAATCCAACCCTTACTTGAAACTAAACTGGGATCCCCTTTCTTATTTCGCAGACCAAGTAGCATGTAAACTGGGATCCCCTTTCTATACATGATGCAACACTAATTCATCACATTAATCAAGACAAACATAATCCAAACAGTGGTTGTATAGAAGCAACAAGTCTATTACCATCTAGTATATTCAATGTCAACTAAACTAGCATCTGCCCAGGTTACAGGAATACAACATACTCACTACTAGCAAGAAATTTTTTACCCTGTAATTCGAAATCCTACAGAGACCCAAAAAAGGAACAGGGAAAAGCCGGGTTTTGGATGAAAACTCAGTACTGAGAATCCTCTTATATCTGGCAACGGGCCTTAACATAATAAAGTGCTTTATATTTGTATTCCCGCCTCATGCCACTGGTAGCTCACCGCAGTCACTGATGACAACCCTCTTCCTTGGACGGTCACCCCTATCGGTCTCCTGCGACTCAATCAATTTCACAATGTCCATGCCTTCTAAAACTTGCCCGAACACAACGTGCCTCTCATCAAGCCATGGGGTCTGCAATGCACCAAAATATAAATGCACAAAAACATAAATGCATACAATATCATGTAAAGTTAAAAGTTGACTAAAAGTTCGGTTTTCTAAAATACACTATCTAAAACAGGCTAGGAATAAAATGGGCTAATGCTCAGAAAAAATATATTTTGTTGCCGACAATGAGCACCTGTAAGTGACCAACTATAATAGTTAAAATATCCTTTGACTGACCGAATTTCCTGAAAATACCCAAAATCCAAAACTTTCATGTTTTATCTTTCATTCCACAGGTATGAATGAGAAAAAAGAGATACATTTTGCTGGCACTACCATGTGCTATTTAGTTCCTTCTTCATTTTTAGGTTTTAAATATACAAACTAAAATTATTTGGTTGAATAACTGTAGCTGCACGGACAAATAACGAGGAAGAAAAGAAATTTAAAAAGAGTGTATTTGATGTTATTATTGTTTAAGCTGGGTATAAACTAGGCAAAGTCCACATATGCTAAAGCATGGTAAGTATTAACTACCAGATACATGTTGCTCAAAGATATATTTTCACAAGCTCAAAAACACCGACTTTGCTGATCGCTGAGAACATTCAGAAGAAAAAGAGAAGAAAGAAAGAGCAAACAGTAAAGAAGTCAACTATTTGTTTCTAGGAATTAAGAGCAGCCAAAATGAATTCTCAATGATCAAATACCAACATAAGTATATACAGTTCTCTTTCATTGCATATGCCAATTGCAATATGCTACTCCCTCCGTTTCATATTTAGATGAGGTACTCTCCTTTTTAGCCTGTTCCAAAAATAAATGACACATTTCTAAATTTGGAAATAATTCAACTTAAACTCCTCATTTTACCCATTTTACCCTTAATGAGAAACTTTTATAACCACACAAATGTCATGACCCCATAACGCTTTTACCCTTAGGCTTTTATGACCACAAATTTCAAAAGTCTTTCTTTTTTTCCTTAAACTCCGTGCCGAGTCAAACTACCTCCTAAATTAAAACAGAGGGAGTACTATTTTAATCATGTCTTTGCTTCCAATATTCAGAAGATATTCTGCTGATTGAGATTCCCACTTCACATACCTTGACAGTGCAAATGAAGAATTGGCTTCCATTGGTATTAGGGCCTGCATTAGCCATGCTAACAACTCCAGGTCCAGTATGAGTCACTGCAGTTATTTGATATTTTCGTCACAAAGAACATTCTACACAATTGAACCAAGGGAACCCGTAGGCCTAGCCACAAAAAGGAGCTTCAAACAAAATTTTGAAGAGAAAAGTCACTTACACTTGAAGTTTTCATCCTTAAAGGTACGACCATATATGCTTTTACCACCGGTTCCCTGCGAATAAAGCATCCCATGTATGGGGAAAAGATTACAATGTGTGGACATGGCAACTGAATATTTTCCAAATTTGAAACTGAAAACACTAGAACTGTTCAATCTAACTAATATATGCATATTAAAGCTTAGAAGAGTAAGAAGTTCAAGTTGCATGGCATAACATATTCAACTGAACAAAACCATCAAATATGCAACAACAACAACAACAACAACAACAACCACAACAACAACAAACCCAGTATAATCCCACAGGTGGGATCTGGGGAGGGTAGTGTGTACGCAGACCTTACCCCAACCTGGAGAGGAAGAGAGGCTGTTAAAACCATCAAATATGCCAGAAGTACATATTCCACTGAGCATCTTCACGCACTCTTTCATGCAGTTAACTACTGATCAAAGAAAATCTTCCTTTCCAGAAAACATAGAAGAAGCAAAAAGTTGATATCAGCAAGTTCATTACTTCATTAAAAAAACGTTTACATCCTGAAGATTGATCATCTCAGAATACAAATATCTTACGAAGTAACCGGCAAATCTCACAAATACAGAACTGAAACAAATTGTAACCCTTTTGTTCTCTGAGTTTCCATGGTGGAAATTGGAGCCATTGCAGATCCAAAAGACAGAAAAGAATAAACCATCAATCAGAAAAAAAGATACCACCGGCCAAGGAAATCAAATTCAAGGTTTAGCATTTCTCCCATTTAAAATCTTGTTCAGATAGAAACAAAGAAAATAAAAGGCTAAATAATAAGCATCCCAAAACATACTTCATTCAATTGTATTACTGAAAACAATATGAACTGGGTGAAGGATGTGATTGAGTCCAGAAGAATGCCAATTAGTGGAACAAATAGAAAAAGAGCAAACCATGTATTGAGACACCTACATTTCCTTTATCGAAATCACCTCCTTGAATCATGAAATCTTTAATAACACGATGAAATGCAGAATCCTTGTAGCCAAAACCCTTCTCACCTGATTGAAAGAAATCAGTACAAACTATAAGCAAACTGTAAATAACAGACAGTAAGTTAGACATGAAACTCAAGCAATAAGGCAGAAGATGATAATATTGATGATAATGATAAAGTAGTAGCAAGAGTAGTAGTGATTATAACATCAGCGACAACACTAATAACATTAAATCTACTAAAGAACCTGTGCAGAGTGCACGGAAATTTTCTGCTGTTTGTGGCACATCATCACCATATAATCCAATTACAATTCGCCCAGCAAGCTTTCCAACAGGATTCCCAATGCTAATATCAAAATAAACTTTGTGTGTCACTTTGGATTGCACCTCGGCCGCCTGGATTTCCATAAATACACTCAGACCAATTTATAAACTTCAACTAAGTAATAAACAAATTACGGAACACAGTCCCACAGACGGAAACATAACACAATGTTTGCTGAAAACTGAACCACAACCACTTTCTACATGTATAAAGGCTCAATCCACTGCCAGAATTCACTTTGTTACTTAAAAAAAGAAAACATCTCCTGTTCCAATTTAAGACACTATTTCATTTAAGGACATATTTGACATCATTTCATTTTTTATACTACTATGTTTACAAGTTTCAAGAATTAAAATTCACTAACTGTTTGAATTTTAAACTTTGATGTGATATTTTCTTTATCAAACTAACTGTTACTTTAGAAGGCATTTGTTTGAGTTTCTTAAAGAAGTTAATGTAAAAGAGTGTTTCAAGAAATTGTTTCTGAAGAAGTTGTTTTTCTGGTATTTTTAAAGAAAGTCCTTGTTTCACTCATGAATATCATAGAAACAACAATTTCTTTTAACCCAACCATTTGAAAAAGAACTCCAAAGTTGTTTAAATGCCTCGTGTATATTCTTCTACTATCAACTTGTCATTAGTCTATTATACAGATAAAAGTCCAATTTAACATCTTAAAATCCGTCTACAATCAATTATTGTCATATAAAATAAGACGGCATACCAACACTCTGCACCACATGCCGACTATGGCCTATGTATTCATCTGCTAACTATTTACAGACGTTAAGCTCTTGAACTTAACCTGACAGGCTATTCCTCACAGAAACCCTATATAGCATATTTCCTAAGTCCATATTTGACATATTTAATTTTGAAGAAAAAACATACTCTTTTCTTTTTAGTGTGTCCTAAAATGAATGACACCTTGCTATATTTAGGAGAAAAATAACTTTAAAATTTGTATTTTAACCTTAATGAGATAATTTATAAACATATAAATGTTTATGACTTATTTTAGATCATAATTTTCAAAAGTTATTCTTTTTATGTGCTCAATCAAACAACATTACATAAACTAGGACAGAGGGTAAATAATAAAGCATCTCATAAATTTGCTCGCAAGCAAGCACAGACCTGCACTGCGGCTTGAATGGACCCGGATAAAGCGCCGGTTTTTCTGAGAACCGAACGGTTCAATGAAGTAGCGAGGCGCAACGAGCCAGAAAAGAAACTTGACGATGAGAATGAAGATTTCACCAACTTAGGAGAAGCATATGTAGGGTTTGCAGCAGCTCGTGGAGCTGAGAGTGAGCCTAAATTCGACTGTAAAAAGGAGAAATTTAAGTCAGGTGAAAAGACGACGACAACAACAACAACAACAACAAAATTACACAAACAACATCTCAATTGTATGAAATCTTTTTATATCCCCGCCCTATTTGGGCTCCTTTTTCAATACCCAATAATTTTGTGTTACGAAGACAAATTAGGGGGTACACTGAAGGACGAAGTTAAAAAATGTATTAGTGAAGAATAGTAGAGAGTTTTGAGAGTTTAAAAAGGCTCACAACTGTAGCAAATGTAGCTGCCATTGTTGCCGATTTCTGTTTCTCCGTTAATGTTCAGTACTTGACTGAATGACTCTAGAGAGAGAAAGAGAGACTGGCGTGGGAGTGGTTGGTGGAAAGTGAGGGTGCAAAGATGGGGAGGGACGGAGATGACGAGCCTCTATCCTTTTGTATACACCGATTTAGGTAAGATATTTTGGACGATGCCAAATGACAATACTCCCCCAATGGCTAGCCTGTGAATCATTTTTTAATTTTTTTATTTTTCCTCCAGTGGTTAGGATCTGTTTTGCATTAAAAAAATCGCTTCATAAGGCAAAAATAATCCTTACTAAATGTAATTTCATACTTCCGGATTATTTGGCATGCATTATAGAAAAATAATGCATACATTAACTTTTGGTATTACTAATTCCTTATTTGGTACATTTTTTTAATCCATGTATTACTAATACAATTATTAGTTATATAACATATTTGGTATTATCCTATGTATAATTAATAATAGCAAACTATGGTATTAGCAATACCAAGGCAATTAATGCATGTATTAGCATGGTCAAAGATAAAATTCACCAACCCTTGACTACGTTTCAAGAGGGGCCTGAAGAGCTGAAGAAAATAAGCTCCTGGAATTCGACACGGTTCAATTGTGTCTTGCGGTTGGGGTTACGGTTTGGCCTGGCGGGTTTTTTTGAAAAATTAATTTTGAAACTTTTCCTATTTTACCCATTGGGTATTTATAATAGTCTAGGGTTATTTCATTAGCCACTTAGCATATGTTGAAATAAGAAAACTCTTGAGAGAGATTTCAAACCTCTTGATTCGAGTTCGACTTTGGATTATATGTTTTCAAGACTTGGGTTCTTGAGGGTTCTTCTTCTCCTTTCTTTATACGTAGGATTTCTAATTTGTCGTTCTTGGGAGGCGATCAGATAGTTTTACGATTGTTGCTTGAGATATTCAATAGGGTTCTAGATTTTCTTTCATACTTCATTATTCAAACTACTTTTGATTATCTTAATCAAACATGTTATTAGTTTTTTTAATTATTGTTATTTCATATTCTGTTGTTTTGTTTGTTTCAGATCGTATTAATTGGTATCAGAGCAAAGGCTCGGGTATTGTTCTAACAAACTCAAGTTCCCCAGTCTTGAAATTAAGATCCGAATTAGTAAAAAAAAAAAAGAAGTATAGTTCTTGTTTCGGCTATACCCTAGTCGAGTTGTTTACTCAAAGAAAAAAAATTGTTCTTGAGTTTCAAGAAAAAAAAATTATTGAAGTGTTTTTGTTGATTGTTAGGAAAAGATTGCTTTTGGGTAAGAAAGATTCATTGGACATTCTTGTCAAGGACGAACTAGTTCAAGTTCGCATTAAATAGTTCTTATTATTTGAAACTAACTATTTCTTTCGTGCCAATTCGTTCGTGTTTTTCTCGTTATTTTCATAGAAATTTCTTGGCTCATGTACTTTGTTTTTAAATGTATGTTCTTGATTATATAAACTCCACTCTTAAATTACTTTCAAGAAACTCATTCTTGGATAGGTGATTTGTGAGTTGAGCTCAAACTTTGAGAATTTCTAAGGAATGATGCAGAGAATATATACGAGTGAAACGTGATAATTTCATAATTATGAGAGAATGCATGGTGTTGAGGATAGTACCAGTGGCACTAAAGCACTAGCTCAAGTTGAAGGAACTAATGAAATGTTGCAAGCTATGATGCAACAGATATAACATTTGACTTTGCAGGTAGAAAACTTGTAGATGACTAATCGGACAATACCAGTTGCTCTGGCACCTGCAGTACATCAAGGTCCATCTCAAAATGTGAGGAGGGATCCACCACAAGTTAGGGTACCTCCACAATATGCGCCCTATGAAGAATTGAAGATGGAGACTTTGATGACTATATTGATTAAGGTCATCAAGGCTTAAGATGGGGTAGGAGGGGAGCTAGGCATGGCAGAGGATTTGGGATGCGACAATGGAATCAATACAACCGAGATGAAGGAGTTGATAGAAACTTGGGTAGCATTAAGATAAAGATTCCTTCCTTTGAGGGGACAACTGGCGCGGTTGTATATTTGGAGCGGAAAGCAAAGGTGAAAGGATTTGCAGAGTTCATAACTACTCTGAGAAGAAAAAAGTTTAAATGATGGTGACTGAATTGAAGGGATATGCCTTTGCTTGGCTTGAAAGAACTGACCTTGATCGTAGAATGCTTGGTGACATACCAATTGAGACTTGGGAAGACATGAAGAGAGCAATAAGGGATAGATTTGTACCTTCATATTAACATAGATAGATTATCAAGAAGTTGCACGGCTTAGTGCAAGGTTACAAAAGTATTGAAGAGTATTACAATACCATGGAGGTGTTTAGGATGAAGGCTAACCTAGATGAGGTCGAGGAAACCATTATGACTTGATTTTACACTAGGTTGAACAGGGACATTGATAATTAGATTGAACTTTCTAGAGATTGTCATTCTGTAATAGAGATGTTGCACGTGGATACTAAGGTAGAAAGGATACTTAGAGATCAAAACAAGTCGTCCTCTACCAGGTGAAATAGAGATAGTACTACTTGGAGATTTTCTTCGAGTAAGAGTAAAGACGTAAAAACTGAAGTCAAGCCATCTCAATCAGCTGAAAAGAGTAAAATAAGGTAGAGGTTAAGAGGGAGGGAACTCTACTCAACCTGAACCTCATAGAAATTCAAGTTCTATTATTTGTCATAGATGTCAGGGGAGAGGACATATGCAATATGAATGTCCTAATCGACGAGCTATTTTGATTAAGGAGAATGGAGAATATGAATCTTATGATAATGTAGAAGAATCTGATGGAGAGGAATCCACATATGGTATTACCAGTTGCAGGGAGGAAGATCTCCTTAAACACACAGTTAGTTGTTAGGAGATTAATGGGAATTCAAGTGAAAGAGGGTGATTCTGATCAAAAGGAAAATTTATTCTATGCTAGATGTAACATTAGTGGAAGAATTATTTTGTAATTCTGGATAGTGGAAGTTTCACTAATGTGTCTCTTGTTGAGCAGTTGGGTCTTAGGACCATGAAGCATCCTCGTCCCTACAAGCTTCAATGGTTGAATGATATTGGGGAATTGAAAATGAACAAGCAGGTTTTTCTTTGCTTCAAAATTGGAAAGTATATAGATGAAATTTTATGTGATGTTGTACCAATGCAAGCTTGCCATCTATTGTTTGGGAAACCATGGCAATATTGGAATGCACTACATGAAGGGAGGAGTAATAGCTATACTCTTGAGATGAAAGGTAAGAAGTATCTCTTGAAGCCCTTGTCTCCACTTCAAGTGTATAAAGATTATAAAAGAGTTAAACAATTGGGTGGGGAGAAGGTGAGAGAAGGAAAAAAGGAGAATGAGTGTAGAGGTAAAATTTCACTTGTTGAAATTGAGGAAAGTGAAGAAGAGGAAAAATTAGAGGGTAGCCGGAAGAGGAAGAATGAAAAGAAACCGAGTGATGGTGAGAGGAAAGAGGCGAAGGGAAGAGAGTTGAACCTTTTTGTACAAGTCAAAGACTGTGAAAAGACCCTTAGTGAAGGAATACCACTTTTACTATGTGTGTATAAAGAAGTTTATTTGAACACTAACAAACTCTCTAACACTCTGTCTAGTGATTTTAGTTCTTTACTGCAGGAATACAATGATGTATGTCTTGAGGAGCTACCTGAAGGATTGCCACCACTTAGAGGGATTGAATACCAGATTGGCTTTTTACCAAGATCTCAGATTTTGAATAAACCGGCTTATACGAGCAACCCAAAGGAGGCTAAGGAGCTTCAAAGGCAAGTGGAGGAGTTGCTAAATAAGGGGTTCGTGAGGGAGAGCATGAGTCCTTGTGTTGCACCAGTTATTTTGGTACCAAAGAAGGATAGGTCTTGGCATATGTATGTTTATTGTAAATCTATCAATAAAATCATGATAAAGTATTGCTACCTCATTCCTAGATTGGATGATATGTTGGATGAGTTGCATGGTGCAAAGGTATTTTCAAAAATTGATTTGCGAACTGGATATCTGGTAAATTGATTTGCAAAGTGGATATCATCATATTAGGATGAATCATGATGATGAATGGAAAACAATGTTTAAAACTAAAAATGGTTTGTATGAATAGTTAGTTATGCCTTTTGGGTTAACTAATGCACCTAGTACATTTATGCGTTTGATGGATCATGAGCCTGTTTGGATTAGCTCGAAAAAAGTAGCTTTTAAGCACAAGTGCTTAAAAGCAAGTTTTAAGTGGTGGAGCTTGTGTTATAAATAAGTAGTTACCTGTTTGGATAAAAGTGCTGAAACTTAAAAAAAGTTGTTGAAGTGTTTGGTACTGTTAAAAAGACAAAAATATCCTTAAAGTTGTTAACATTATAAAGGAGACAATTATTACAATATATTTAATTCATAATTAATGCAAATAAAAAATAATTTATATTTTACTTTAATTTCAATTTAATTGAGTACTTAAGATATAATTTTTATAAATATAATTCTTGAACGCTTATTTTTTACCACTTTCATTCAAGTAAACTTCCATAAAAATAAAACGAGCTCATTTTCCTTCCATAAATAAGAAAAAGAAACAACAAAAATGATACATTCTAACTTCTTGTTTTGAAGTATCTCATAAGTTAAAGCTAAAATATAAAGCTAACACATCTATTTGGAATATACATAAATAGAATTAAAAATCTAAAACTACCAAGGATAAGTGGTAGCTATATCCGAAAGGTAGGTATATCTTCAATGTCAACCCTTCCATACACAGCAGCATCAACTCTCAATCTGCACGCAAGGTGCAGAAGTGTAGTATGAGTACAACCGACCCATATATTCAATAAATATCATAACTGTGACGACCCGACCAATCGTCTCATGAGTTACCACTCCGTTTTCCCCCATTTCTGCTTCTTTATGCTTCGTTATCCGTGTTTTAGGTGATCGGGTTGATTAGATTGAGTTCGGAGAGTATTTGGTAAGAAATGAGACACTCAGTCTCTTTTAAGAAGGTTTAAGTTGGAAAAGTCAACTGGGTGTTGACTTATGTGTCAGAGAGCTCGGATGTGAGTTCCGATGGTTCGGTTAACTTCGGGAGGTGATTTATGACTTAGGAATGTGATCGGAATTG